AGGAGGCATTCCCTCTACAGTTCTAGTAAAGGAGCCTCACCCCTAGAAAGCTAAAGGAAATGATAGGCCTTTGTTAGTCAGAAGCAAGCTGATTCAAGAGATCAGTAAACAATAGCTTTTGCATGAAGTCACTGTCCTAAGAGTTTGACTTTCAGGGGCACCAGGGTTGCCCAGTCGTTAAGCATCTGCATTCGCTTCAGGTCATGATCCCAGGGTCCTGGGATCGAGCCCTGCATCAGGCTCCCTGCTCGGTGGGGAGCCTGCTTCTAAAAAAAAAAAGTTTGACTTTCAAATGCTAGTAAATTAGAGACAGGGCACCGTGACTGTGGCAGGGAGTGGAAATGGGTGGCTGAGAACCAACATGGAAAAACAAAGCCTTTGGGGTTTTGTACCATAGTCTGCACTACCTGTTCACACTTTTTGAGTATGTATGTATGTATTTTTTAAGTAAATTCAATGCCCAACTGAGATTAAGAGTTGCATGCTCTATCGACTGAGCCAGCCAGTTACCTCACCATTCAAGTTTCTAAAATAAAACTAGTTGTTTGGTGGAGTTGACATCATTACTTTGAAAAAGGACTTTGCCTGCCTCCATTTGACCTCAAACATTTTTTTTTTTTTTTTTTTTTTTTAAGATTTTACTTTTGAGGCGCCTGGGTGGCTCTGTCGTTAAGCGTCTGCCTTCGGCTCAGGTCATGATCCCAGGGTCCTGGGATCGAGCCCCGCATCAGGCTCCCTGCTCCGCAGGAAGCCTGCTTCTCCCTCTCCCACTCCCCCTGCTTGTGTTTCCTCTCTTGCTGTGTCTCTCTGTGTCAAACAAATAAATAAAAATCTTAAAAAAAAAATTTTACTTTTAAGTAATCTCTCCACCCAATGTGGGGCTCAAACTTACAAACCAGAGATCAAGAGTCTCAGGCTCTACTGACTGAGCCAGCCCAGGCACCCATGACCTCAAACTTTATAATTAAGGTTTTTGTTCGAGTTTCTCTCTTAACTCAGGCAAAAGACCCTGCAGAAAAAACATAACCTGTTGGGAACCAAAACCACTCCCTCAAGCAAAAATGATTGCCCTGAGCCAGCAAGAGCCCACCCAGGATTGACTCCACGACAATGATCCCTTTAACCTTCACTGCCTATCTGCATGTACCCACCCACCTTTGCCTTCCATTTTCTTTATATAAACCCAGAAGTATTTTGGGCATTCACTGGTCTTAGACACTAGTTTGCTGTCTTCCCAGTGGTGACCTCACTGAAATAAATTCCTTTCTAGTTCTACCACCACTTGTTTCTCTGTCTTTGGGTTTTGTCAGCGACAAGTGGCTGAACCTGGTCTGTTTGGGACCCCCCCCCCCCCGCCCGGAGCCAAGTATTCCTGCACCCCTTATAGCTCTGTGCACCGGCTACAACTTGAGCGTCAATTCTTAACACTATTAGCTACTATTTATTGAGGGCTTACTAGGTACCAGGCATCATTCTAAGTATTTGACATATTAGATAAATGCAATTATTAGTCATCCTAGTTTTATGGATGGAGAAACTAAAACACAGAAAGATTAGGTAACTTGCCAAAGGTCACACAGCTGTTAGTTAACAGAGCTGGTAGGTCACCTTAACCATTATCCCACTTTGCTATGTGCTAAAATACTATTCTAGGTACTGAGCATCAGAGATATGGAGCTGAGTAAAGGCCCCTACTCTCTGAGTTTACATTCTAGTGAGGGAGAGAGATGACAGCAACAAATACCCAAGACAATATTAGATAATGAGGCATGCCAAGGATTTTAAGTGTTGAAACTGAGAGAGATTGGTAGCTACTTTAGATTTGGGTGGTCAAAGAAGGCCTCTCTTTGGAGGTTACATTTACACAGAGAGAACAACTAATGCAAAGATTCAAAGAAGGAAACAAAGTGGTATGTTCCAGCAACTTGAAGACAGCTAGACATCCTCAGGGTATGAGGGAGAGGTGAGGTGCAGGCAGGGGCCAGATATCTGAGGGTTTTCTAGGCAAGGTTGAGGCCAGGGGAGTCTGGTTTTAAGTGTGAAGGGAAGCCACTGAGAGGTTTAAAGCTGTGAAGACCAGTTTTGAGGCCACTGCTTCAGGTGTCTGTGGGAGAGATCATGGTGGCTTACAATTGGGTGTATGTAGCAAGGAAGGAGAAACTTGGGCTGTTCTGGAAGTCGAGTCAATAGGATACACTGATGGACTTGGTGAGGGAGGGTGAGGGAAATAGGTTTCAAAGGTGACAAGCTGGTTTGTGCCTAGAACAACCTTCTGGATGGTGATGCTAATAGGGAAGACTGTGGAAGAGACAGGGATTTCTCATATAAGGGAAGGCCTTTTTCAGAATGGGGGAAAGGAGCATTCAAACCACTACACTTGCTTTACCTAATTTAACCCTTACAACAATCCCATGTGTTGATGCTATTACTAATATATCTACCTTCGTTAGAGGGACAGACTGAAGTTAAAAAGTTTCCCCAAAACCCACAGCTAGTAAATAGCAGACCAAGGCGTCAATTCCAGAGCATACACTTCCCTCACAGCTCCCAGCCTTTAAAGATGACCAAGAACTAATTTAGGGCTCAAAGTGAAAGCTTGGCCACTGTAGATCCAAAAGGAGAAAGTCAAGGAGGAAATAATATGGTACATAGCTAGAGTGGAAGAAAGAGAAATTAACTGTGATCTGGGGAGGTACTTCCAAGACCAGGAAGCAATCTCAAGGCTTCAACAGCAGGGAAGGAAAGGAGGCACACTCTCAGGAGATAAGACTTTTTCTTTCTTTCTCCCTTCCTTCCTTCCTTCCTTCCTTCCTCCCTCCCTCCTTCCCTCCCTCCCTCCCTCCCTTTGTCTTTCTCTCTCTCTCTTTCTCAATTTCTTTTAGGTTTAAGTAATCTCTACATCCAATGTGGGGCTCAAACTCACAACCCCAAAATCAAGAGTTGCATGCTTTTCCTACTGAGCCAGGCAGGTGCCCCTTTTAAATTCTATTTTTAAGTAATCTCTATACCCAACGGAGGGCTCTAACTCACAACACCCGCCCCCCCCCCGCCCCCCGCCGCTGGAGATCAAGAGTCACATGCTACACCAACTGAGCCAGCCATGCGCCCCTTTTCCACACCTGCACCCTGGGATGATTATTTCATTCCCTCTTTTTTTTTTTTTTGAGATTTTATTTATTTATTTGACAGAGAGAGACACAGCGAGAGAGGGAACACAAGCAGGGGGAGTGGGAGAGGGAGAAGCAGGCTTCCCGTGGAGCAGGGAGCCCGATGCGGGGCTTGATCCCAGGACCTGAGCCGAAGGCAGATGCTTAAACAACTGAGCCACCCAGGCGCCCCTTTTAGATTTTACTCTTAAGTAATCTCTACACCCAAAGTGGGCTTGAACTCACAGCCCTGAGATCGAGGGTTGCATGCTCTACTGACTCAGCCAGCCCAGTACCCCTCATTCCTTCTTTATTCTCATCTCTCCTACCCTTCCTCACCAGCCTCCCTCAGCAATGTTTTTGCCTCACACTTGGCACAGAACTAGAAGCTATCATTTGAAAAACCCTCACTATGGTCTCATTACATGGACGAACTGCCTAAATCTGCACTCCTCATCAACACTGACCCACTCAAAGGCCTGCCCCTAGGAGCTGCTCTCTCCTAAATCTGTTTCTCCTGCTGCACCCGGTCCTTCCATCTGCACTCAGACTTGTTCTCCCATCTTTAATTCTCCCATCTTCCTGGGCACCCAGGTGGCTCAGTCATCAAGCGTCTGCCTTCAGTTAAGGTCATGATCCCTGCTCTGCAGGAAGCCTGTTTCTCCCTCTCCCACTTCCCGTGCTTGTGTTCCCTCTCTCGCTGTGTCTCTGTCAAATAAATAAATAAAATCTTAAAAAAAAAATTCTCCCATCTCCCTGTCTACATCCCCCCTCCCCTCCCCTCCCCTCCACCCCGCTCCCCTCCACCCCCAGTGCATATCTGCCTCTATACTCTCCATCACAGCTTGATCTTCTGGGAGCTCTTTCCACCCAGTGGCAAGCCCTCACATCCCTTCATTGATCAGCCCATCCCAAACTAGCTTCTATCTCTGCCGCAAGACCAATAAAGTCACCACTGAATGCCATGGCTTTCTATCTGTATCTTGATCTCATATGCTTTCTACACATTTCTCTGTTCTACTTTCCTTCCTTGGCTTTGATCGAGCACATTCATCTGGTTTTCATCCTACCTGTTTGGCCACGCCTTCTCGGTCAGCTTTGGGAGTTCGGTCTGTTAAAGATCAGAAATTTCTCCTAAATGTGTCCTAAACTGAACTCTACCATCACTTCCCACCCCATTGCCCTACAGAATTCAGTTACTCCTCCATTCTCCCCACCTTATCATAGGAAATCATTTGCTCAAGCCATAAAACCTGACAACTATCCCTCACTCATACCTATGCTGAATCAGTCCCCCAAGTCCCAGCAATATTAAATATCTTTCAAATCTAGTCAGCTTCTCTTTCTCCAGCACCACCACACCACCACCTTCCCTACTATCTAGATGAATGCACCATGTGCTCTCCAGCGTTCACACTTCCCACTTGACTCAATCCCTGCTGCAACCTAACTGCCACAGAGCAGTTAATAACCACAAAGCACATCAAAACCATTCTCCTTTCAATAGCAACCCACCACCCTTAAAAATAGTAAACTATCTCCAGTTCTCCATCAAAGGGTTATAACTAAACCATTCTCTCACTTTTTTTTTGAAAGCTAACACTAAAACACAGTAATATATCTGGAAAAAGAACTTGATATCCATAAGAAATTGTGCCTACTCGACTCAGCCTTTAAACAGTTCCTAATCTGAGTCTCCACTCAATTCTACCTTAACAGTTGCATTTACTGTTTTCCGCTAACTTTTCTCCCTACTACATACTCCCCAAACAAACTACAGGCTTGTAAATCAAGCTGCAGAACACAACATCCTTGTAACAACTCTACTTTTGGTAACAAAAACACCCTACTAAAACCACTCAGATGACATCCCTTTCTTCTAACTTCTCTTTAAGAGAAGAAGAACGATCATCAAAGACAAAAGGCGTCCGTAAAAAAACAACACCTAGAGCCAACTTCACGCTCAGAAAGGGATATTACACCTCTTCCTCGTGGTTTCGGGTACTTTACACGTTCAGAGGAACTTCTCTAGTAATAAACTATAGAAATGATCCCTGAAAGTATAGTCTTAAGCTTGTTTTCGCCACCTCGGCTAGGTCTATGGCAGTCGCACACTTTGCGCTGATGACGACATTTTTCGCACTTCTCCCATTTTCAGAACTATCACATAAACAAAGTATTGTTTTATACACCATCTTTTAAAACACTCTGCATACTCTTAAGAGTCTTTCCTTTAAGAAAACTAAGTCTTCTGGTTCTTAATTAGCCTATCACGGACCGACAGCCAATCAGAAGCTCTTGTTTTTCTGACATAAAAACTTCCGGACTAGTTTAAGATAAGGGTGCGCTGGGGGGGCGTCAATCAGTACCGGCATTACACGGTATTACACGCCCCGTCTTCGGGTGGGAATTTTTTTTGGAACCTCTAAGACCCTGAATTTGAAAAGTTAATAGGTAAATTAATTTGACATTTTGACTTTCAGACCGGCTGCTAGTTACTCACTTCTGTGTGGACTTGAGGGGCACATATTGGGACTCAACTCTGGGTAGGTTTTCTTTTTTTTTCCCCCCAAGATTTTATTTATTTGACAGAGAGAGGGACAGTGAGAGAGGGAACACAAGCAGGAGGAGTGGGAGAGGGAGAAGGAGGCTTCCCGCAGAGCAAGGAGCCCGATGCCGGACTCTATCCCAGGACCTCAGGACCACCACCCAAGCGGAAAGCACTTAACCAACTGAGCCACCCAGGCACTCCTTGTTTCTTTCTTTTTTAAGATTTTAGGTTGCTTTTCAAAACAACGTATCCAGGTGTAGAGAGCAAAATGGAGTCTCTCTTGTCAAGCAGGAGCCTGTGCCAAGCAATGACCGCAAGCAGTTAAGGTACTGCAGCTAGATATCACCCAGACCAACCTCAGCTGACACCCCAGAACTGATAACGAGTAGAACCAGAGGAGGTCTGCAGAGACCCAAAACTGATTAAATCCCTTTAAAAAGGGAAGGATTTTGGCAGGAAACTGTCAGACTCTTCAGACCTGATCCCTCTATGTCTGACCATTTGAAAAAGGGAACTGCCCCTGAAGGCTCTGACAGATTGATCCCTGAACAGAATGGAGATCCTTCACTGCTTGAACTTCGGAAGCAGTAAGTGTCAAGAGCTGACCCGGACCAGACATATCTCAAGCCTTATCTCAACTGTTCAGCCAGGGACTGACTGTGCGTTTGGTTCGTTAACTTCCTGCACCCTTGTTATCTTGTGTGTTGTGTGGCTTGAATTCTGTCCTGCTCTGTGTGCTGTGTAAGAAGCCAAGCTCAATCCCATGGTGAATTGTCATTGAGTTTGGAATCCTGAACCTGCTTTGTAATTGTGATTTAACTTTTGCTTTATGATTGAATAAAGCTGACATTGGGGAAAGACACAAAATATGTTCCAGGCCTTCTACTAAACCCTTTACATAACTGAGGGTTTAGAGGGTAGGGGGGTGGGGGGATGGGTTAGCCTGGTGATGGGTATTGAAGAGGGCACGTTCTGCATGGAGCACTGGGTGTTATGAACAAACAATGAATCATGGAACACTGCATCAAAAACTAATGATGTAATATATGGTGATTAACATAACAATAAAAAATTAAAAAAAAAACCCTTTACATATATCATCCCATTTAATCTTGGAACTAACCCTAAGAGTTTGAGGAAATCGAAACTTAGAATATTAAGTGGCTCACCCAGGCCACAAGGCTGTCTGTCTCCTGTTTCCTTGAGCACTGACATTCCACCTTTCTGTATCTTGTAAGTCCTTATCTCCTTCCATGTAACCCAAAGAAGAGGCTCTTTGTATTTTGCCTAAGACTAGAACCAGGTAAAACTTAATAAACTGACCTGACTAAAGTAAACCCATAAGGAAAGAAGTAGGCAGTAGAAGTACTAGGGGGGAGAGGGGGGTACAGAAGTTTGCAAAGGGAGAAAAGGGGGAATCTGGGATGCACTGTCTGAGGAGCAGTGAGACATCATTTAGGCATTTCTTACAAATGCTAAGGAAGCAAATCATAGGGCCGCCATTCCTAAGAAAGGGTGACTGGGGATGAACTACTTACTGATGGGAGTCAACTTAGCAATTAGAGGTGCTATGAAGAGGAAAAGGCTAAGAATACAGCCTGTGTCCTGACTGGAAGGCCCTTTGGCCATTTCCTGACAGACAACAGCCATGTGTTTGCCCAGTGAATAGCACTCAGAAATCCTGTGATAGATCAAAACGAAAATGAGACCCAAAACTCCCGTCCTCAAGATTACTAACAAAGCGAGTCATCAACTGATACTCAGTGACAAGCCAGGCCTCCCTAAAGGAACCTGAGACCTCACCCTGTGTATCTCACACCCATGTGATATACACACACATACAGAAACACCCTACTTCTGAGCACCAAAAAGAGAGTGGGGTAAAAGGCAGGGGGCATGATCCTTAACTATATAAAATGTTGAAATAAGGAACTGGACTAAATAACCAGCTTTGAAAGTCCCTTCTAGCTCTGATATTCTCAAATTGCCTTCTTCATATCCTTAACACCTCTATGCATCTCTTCCTCTGGCTGCTCCTGAGTTGAGTCCTTTTACAATAAACTGGTGATCTAATAAGTAAACTGTTTTCCTGAGTTCTGTGAACTGTTCTAGCAAATTCTTAAACCCAAGGAGTGAGTTGTGGAAACCTCTGATTTGTAGTCAAGTCGGACAAAGTTTTGTGTAACCTGAAGACCCACTACTTAGGTCTGGTGTCCAAGGTATTGGGCGGGGGCAATCTCGTGAGACTTGAGTGCTTCAGTTGTGGGATCTGATGCTATCTCCTGGTAGACAAAGTCAGAATTTAATCAAATTGTAGAACACTCACCTGGTGTTGGAGAATTGTTCAGTGTGGGGAAAAAAACCCCACACATTTGATGTCAGAAGTATTGTGAGAGAAAAAAAATAAGAGTTTTCCCTTTCATCACTATTTCTAAATCTTTAGATCTTGGGGAGTCTTCCTTTCTGATTCCCACACAGCTGGTACCCTTGCAGCAGTTATGATTTTATTTTTCTTTGGGTGATTATGCTATCCTATGTTCCTCTAGACAGTGGAAAGAGGGACTCTTACTCAATTACCATTGAGTCTCCAGCCTTTAGCATGGTGCATGGCTAGGAATGTGCTCAGTAAATAAACACAAACCTATATGAGGTCACAAGGAAGTAAATAACTACTAAAAGTAGAAAAATAATAAAGACTTGTGTTTCAGAAGAAGAAGAGAAGTGGATCACTTTTAAATACATTAAAGAAACTTTAGCTTAGAATATTTTTAAAGAGGGGCACCTGGGTTGCTCAGTTGGTTAAGTGTCTGACTCTTGATCTCGGCTCAGGTCTTGATCTCACAGTCGTGAGATCAAGCCCTGTGTTAGGCTCCACACTGGGCAAGGAGCCTAGTAAAAAAAAAAAAAAAAAACTCTTAAAGGACAGAGGAATAGGGGTGCCTAGGTGGCTCAGTAGTTAAGCATCTGCCTTCAGCTCAGGTCATGATCCCAGGGTCCTGAGATCCAGCCCCGCATTGGGCTCTCTGCTCCGTGGGAAGCCTGCTTCTCCCTCTCCCACTCCCCCTGCTTGTGTTCCTGCTTTCGCTGTGTCTCTCTCTGTCAAATAAATAAATAAATAAAATCTTAAAAAAAAAAAAAAAAAAAGAGCTCTGGATCCCAGAGAAATAGGGAAGTTAGTGTCAGGTTTGTGTTCTTTGGAACCAGTTCAGTCCTCAGTTACTGGTTGTGGCATCTTGGGCAAATTCCTTAACCCTGTCAAAGAAAAATGGGTTCTCTCACCAAACCAAGCACAGGGCAAACTGTATTCTGTGCCTTTGCTTGTAGCTTGAGAAAAATCACTGTCGAGAGCAGTGATTTTAAGTGATTTAAGATCAGAACCTTTCCTTGGGGCCTTGCTTCACCACTGTTTAACAGGTTCGTACTTCCGTGTTATGGGGAAACTACTGTTGGGGAATGAAAACTTGCTGTTCCAAATAACTACAGATGTAGCCACATTGTTTGCTTCTTAGGTGTATTGTGTGTGTATGCCCCACTAACAAAAACCCAAAACACTGAGTCTGGTAAAGATGTGGATCAACAGGAAGTCTCATTCACTGCTGGTGGGAATGCAAAATAGGACAGCCATTTTGGAATACAGTTTGGCAGTTTCTTACAAAACTAAAAATATTCTTATCATAAAATCCAGCAACTGCACTCCTTGGTATTTACTCAAAATGAGTTGAAAACTTATGTCACACAAAAACCTGCATATGAGGGATGCCTGCGTGACTCAGGTGGTTAAGCATCTGCCTTTGGCTAAGGTCACGATCCCAGCGTTCCGCATCAGGCTCCTTGCTCAGTGGGCAGCCTGCTTCTCCCCCTGCTTGTGCTCTCTCTCTGACAAATAACATCTTTAAAAAAAACAAAAACCTGCCCATGATATTTACAGCAGCTTTATTCATAATTGCCAAAACTTGGAAACAATCAAGATGTCCTTCAAAGATGAGTGGATAAACAAACTGTGGTACATCCAGACAATAAATATTATTCAGCAATAAAAATGAATGAGATACGAAGCCAACAAATGATACAAAGGAACTTTAAATGCATATTGCTAAGAGAAGCCACTCTGGAAAGGCTACATCATTTGGCTTCAACTATATGATATTCTAGAAAAGACAAAATATGGAGACAGTAAAAAAAAATCAGTGGCTGCCAGGGTTCACGTAGAGAGATAAACAGGAGGAGCATAAAGGATTTTTAGGGCAGTGAAATTATTGTGTATGATACTTAATGGTGGAAATAACATACATCTGTCCAAATCCATAGAAATATATAGCACAAAGAATGAATCCTAGTGTAAACTATGAACTTCAGTTAGTAATGAAAAAAACTATGAACTAGTGTAAACTATATAAACTATGTGTAAACTATGAACTCAATATTCACTAAAAACAAACCAACCATGCATTAAAACTATACATTAAATCTGTGGTTTCAGGGATATCTTGTTCAAATACAGATGAAGTAAATAGTGGGTAGATTACCCACTACAAGCAGACTCAGAACTAAAGGGTGGAATGCCTAGTGTGTCAGTGAATGATTTATGAATCACAGTACTGGAAAATACTGATAACAGGCCTTAAATGACTAAGCATGTATTCCCCCAGGCAGAGCATTAGAGTTTTCTCTGGAAAAAAAAAAACAAAAGAGAAGCCCCAGGGGGCTATAAAAAGATGTCCGCCTGCCCCCCGCCAGGGGGCGCGCTGAGTCTACTTTCAAGCAGACTCCCCACAGAGCAGGGAGCCTATGTAGGGCTTGATCCCAGACAGGATGGGAGCGAATGGCAGATGCTTAACCAACTGGGCCAACCCAGGCGTCTCCGTAATAATACTGCACTGAATATTTGAAAGTTGCTAACAGTGTATCTTAAATGTGGTCTGGGCTCATCACAAGAAAAATATTCTATAGCTGTATGGTGACATGTAAACTAGACATTGTGGTTATTTTGCAATCATACAAACATGGAATCATGTACAGAAACTAATATAATGTTTATGTCAATTGCAACAAATCTTTTAAAAAAACTCTTAAACTAAAATACAACCAAAAGTTAAAATTTAATATAAAACTTGGCAGTAAAGGTCAATAGTCCAGAGAATAATACAAACTGAAGAGAGCTTAAAAGAAAATAGAGGGCGCCTGGGTGGCTCAGTTGATTAAGCGACTGCCTTAGGCTTAGGTCATGATCCCGGGGGTCCTGGGACGGAGTTCCACATCGGGTTCCCCCTCTCTGCGGGGAGGTTGCTTCTCTCTCTGCCTGCCACTCCCCCTGCTTGTGCTCTGTCAAAAATACATAAAATCTTTAAGAGAACTCCAAGGATTAATTTAGGAGGTCCCATATCTGACTAAAAAAAGTTC